GCTCAAGGTTCATAATAGAGTTCAAGATGTGTTGTTCAGAAGGAGGGAGGTCTGATGTGTGTCTGTATGTGTGCTGGATTTCCCTGACAAGGAAGGCCAGAGGCACTTGACCCCTCATGACCTCTGCTGTGTTTGTGGCATGAAGCGGTTTGTAAAGAGAAATACATTTGTCTTCTGCTGCGTGTGTGTCAGTCAGATAAGCTCTGACCTCACACATACCTGCACAAGGTTCCTGTCTGTCACATACTTTGAGGTGAACTTTATGTGGTGAAACAAAGGACTAATTGTGAGAATCTCTTTTTAAAGACACCTGCATGTCTGAGTCATTAGCATGAACACACACACACACACACCACACAGGGCTTCGACTTTCACCTTGAGCTGTTGTGGTTTGCATGATTGCACCAGCAGGGGGAAAAAATGAATCAGTAAAAGCACTTTAAGACTCTCTCACGTACACAAACAGACACAGCGCTGTGTGGGGCCTTCTTTTAAGTGTTTACAAGAGAAAAAGAAAAAACTCAAAACACTAACTGAAGAATGTAGCCTGTGGCTAAAATAAGAGTACATTACAAGTGACACAAATAATCAAGAGAATATCAATATGAAGGTTCAGAGTAGGGGTTAACAGATATTGGTTTTTCAGGGCTGATATGGATACCAATTATTAGCAGTTCATGACACAGATAACTGATGTTGGGAACCGATGTATTCACAGTGAAAATGAAAATCCTTCAGAATTCACAAACTCCAACACAAGACTTCCTTTGAACGCTCAACTGGAGACTCTCCTCCTGCTCCAGGCTGCTGATGCAGATGCTCTCATCTCAGAATGTCAGTGGCACCCAGGCTTCAGTGTTGATTGGCTATTACTCGTGTGACGCCTAAGCAATCAGGTAGTGTGGTGGGCGGGACAATAGGTGAGACAGAGTGGGTGAGTGAAAACAGACCCAGAGGGAAAGACACACCTGCAGGAGAGCTAAAGTAGGGCGCTTTATATTTATTTGTGTCTGTGATCGGTAAATTAAACACTGATACAGCTAATGAGCAAAATGCAGGATGTCAGCGAGGCCAATAATCAGTCTACCCCTAGTTCAGAGATGACGAAAAACCAGGACATATGTAAGGAAATATATATATATATATATTTAAATATTTATTTGTGGACTTTTATGCCTTAATTAAGATAGGACAGTGGGTAGAGTCGGAGAAAGTGATGATTGCTTTAAGGGAAAGAGCAATAGGTCGGACTTGAACTTGGGCTGCCCACTTTGAGGACTATAGCCTTTGTACATTGGGCGTACAACCTAGCCTTTAGGCCACCCAGGACCAAGAAATAATTCTATTAAAAAAATTCCAGTTGGTCAATCTTCTGAATAGGTTTTATTTATTTCACCTTTACCATTGTGATGTTGATTCTAGCACAATGAAGTGAAAAGATTGGGGGTATTAGTGCCTAAATGAAAGAGTTCAGTTGACATATATAGATATTCTACTTAAATAATCAATTTATGAACACGTTGAATTAAAAAGCTACTACAGTAAATCACAGGAACACATACAACATTTTAACTTTTTAAGATACACCTCATCTCTTGCTATCTGTCTTTTTGTCCGTCAATAAGCTCTCTGAACATCTTCTTACAGACTCATATCTGGGGACATGGTGCTTTAAAAACACTTCCCTCGATATAAAAGGACTGTTTGTTTATGTTTCACACGGATAAACTATTGAACGCCCTGAAACTCTCTCTCTCTCTCACACACAAACACACAGTGGGTGTTGTTTTTGGCCTGTCCAAAGCCTTGGCCTCTCTCCCAGACACTGACCTGCTCCCCAAATGGGAGCTGCAGCCAAATGGGTCAGACCACTGGATGTGTGTGAGGATTGATTTCACACAACCAACATCACCCGTGTGTGTTTGAATGTGTGTTTAAGTAACAGAAGCCAAAAATTAAGTAACCCCCCCCCCACACACACACACACACACACACACACACACACACAAAAGAGTAGCCAGACGTTATGTAAACAAGATGGGATGACGCATTACCCTGCGTGTGGCAAGCTTGTGTGTTTGCGTACGGTAGTTTTGTGTCTCCCATATACAATTTGCCACATTGAGTTATTTTGGCTGGATCAGTGCCACACATTTGAATCAATAATGCAAACTAAAAAAATCAACTGCAGATTTTTACTCTTGACTCAACAACTGCCTTAAATGCAATGCGGTGTCACACACACACAGACACACACGCAGACAAGATAAGCATCTGAGTCAGTGTTTAGCAAACACAGAACTATCACTCCTCAACTCAAAGTCCCCATAGGAGGGAACTTAAAAGGAATTATGTAAAGGAATGCAGAAGACAACAACTCTAGTGGAAGAAATGGCCGCACAGGACGTCCAATCAGATGTCTCTCCTGCTTAAGGACAAACTTGAGTGCTGAGAGGAGCACAGACAGGTAGGACTCCAGTTTCATCTTCTTGACTTGTTATTCTTACTTGTACACACACACACACACACACACACACACATGCACGCACAAACATCAGGACCTGAAAAAACAGGCCAGTGAGAAGATGACAGATTGAAAGTGCTGGGATACTAAAAGCAGAAGTCAGTGAGACAATTAGAGAGAAAAAGAGTGAAAATAAGCTATAAATCGTATAGGCTTCAAAAACACGCACCATTTCAAAAACCACAAAACCACAAAAGAAATATATCTATCTACAGTACTACAAGTTAAACTTAACCACAGCTGAAAAGTTGGTCACTTTCTTTTCATGTACCTTGTGACATCAGGCTTTTGTGTGACTTTTGCTGTTTTGCATCCCAACTTTTTGTGGCTACTGTTTTTAGTGTAACTGTTCTACACAACACACACAATAACACTCGTCAATAAGAATCTAATGCCTTTCTGGTTCAAGGTTCTGGAGGAATGGATAGAAAAGTGTGTGAGAGAAAGACACAGTGTGTCAGCGTGATCTTAGGAGGAATACTGTTTTAAAAAGCTAATGGTGCACAGACACCACTCTTACACACACACATATACAAGAGTGCATCTAAAGTAATTCTCCCACTTTTTCAGGCTTCATGTTCTGATTGGTTCAATGAACTTTCCATGAAGTCAAAAAGAAATAGCTTTTGATGTAGATGCCTGTGCAGTGACCTATATAAAGATTTTACATTTGATATCTAAGCCTATGGCCTGACCTACATGAAGCAGTAACATGAAATATATTGATTGCTGCTGCACATGGATCTTATCCGCTTAGAGCAAACTCTATGTTAACAAAATTACTTTAATCTGCAACATCAAAAAGACATGTATGCCAACATATAGATATTAATATGGAAGACTTATACATGGGAAGCAGGCCAGCAGATTTCAGGAGTGAAAAGTTCATACTTCATTTCTAAGCGTTCAATGTGCTGAATAAGGTACAAAATCTGATGATTATCTAAATATTGATGGGAGTAAATCCATGTCCATCAGATGATTTGACTTTGGTTCTAAAGCACGTACATAGTCCGTCTTTAGTGTTGTGTATCTAAGTCCCTGACATATATAACAAAAATAAGTCGAAAGACCCTATAGACTACTAATCTTAAAACATGCATGATGTCATTTCATTTTCCAGGAAAGGACGTTGAAAAGTAATACACAATTACATGTTAGATATACAATGGCATACATAAACATCTTTCTTCTAAATCTCACAATAATACCCAGAGACTTAAGGCAGAAATGTGACCCACTCTTCTTAATATGAATCCCTTCACAGGGTATTAATGTAGCTTCAATTCTACATATATCTCCCCCTACATGTGCATTGCCACAATTAATCATTCTCAAATTCTATGAAAGATTATCCTTCATACAGTAAGAGATTAATCATTTCTTATCTTTAGCACCGTGTCAGGGGTCAAATCCATGCATTATGGGCATGTATCTAAACTGTGGATTTCTTCATGGGGCTGGGGGGACTATTTAATCAACATAAGGAAGGTGCATGTAAAGTTATAAAATCAATGTGTGTCAGGGTGTTTTTTTATATGCAGAAAACATATTTTTTATGAAGTGTGTCAACAATCGAGGCTCAAACAATTCAAAATGTGTTTTTAAATTTGAGGCGTTAAGAGAAAAATCAGATTTATTTTGGGGTTTATTTCTCCTGATTTCAAGATTGATTTTGTAATCTCTTAACACCTGTATGTTTGATGCGAAGTCTGACACTGTTAAGAGAAATGGTTAAAACTTTAACTTTTCTCTAGTCTATTGTTTGAAATATTAACATTGTGGACACTTCTTCTTAATTTTCTTTCAAATTAAGTGAATATACTTCATTGTGTTACATTCTTAGTTTCACCTCCCATGTTTTCAAGATGTCAGAGTGGCATCCCTGAACTACAGATGCTTTTAAATTAAATGCATCAGGTGCACAGTTTGAATAACCGAAAAGATCCATGAAGAATGTGAATAAAACCTTCTCCATATCTAGTTTTGAAGTGAGGAAGATCAGGGGAAGTATCCATGCTGGTCAGACACAGAGAGATGTTCTCCAAATAAATACCCATAAAAGATACATCAATACTCGACAGCATATACAACAAATCTGACACAACCACTCAAACGCAGGACATCCATAACAAGTCTGACCAGTGGATATATGATCAGTGGACATCAAGGTTTAGAGCTGTGTGCACACATGTATTAGCACACAAGTTTCCTTTCTGTCTGAGTCGGGTTAAATGTTTGTGTGTCTCCATATGAAGATGGATTTTATGCTATTTTAAAGTTTAAATATGTAGTCAATCAACACACAGACATATTGACAGTCAAAGCCTACAAAGTTATCACTTCACAGGTTAATTACAAAAGTAATCTGAATGAAAGGAGGTAGAGAAGGAAAATAGGAAGAGCTATGTTGTTCCCTAACATGCAACATACTCAACTAAAGATTTAAGTGTTGTGGTTCCTTTAATACTCTTACCTCTCTTTGAGGAAGTCTACCACTCTCTTGAAGTCATCGATGCAGTATTCTCTCTTCATGTCCATCAGGACGCTGTCTGAGGCCGACTGCACGGGAACATGAAGGAAGGCATAGACCCGAGGATGATTCAATATCTTTGCCATCTCCTGATGGGAAAAAGAGAATAGAGAAAGAGAGCAACATTAAGAGTTTGATTTTCATTCTTTTTTCAAATGCGTGGAAAAGAAAGACAGGACACACAGTGCCTTCTAATAACCTACTTCATTTAGAAGGGCACACAAAAAACGAATGGTATTTTCGAGCCGTTTCTGCCATTATTAGAGAGGAGAGCTGAAGAGAGACAGGGAACAGTGGGAGGGGAGAGTGGTGGATGACATGCAGCAAACGGACGAGGTCGGATTCGAACTCACGGCGGCTGCGACAAAGACTTAAGCCTCTTTACATGTGCTAAGACTGGACCGCTAAACATATAACTACTAAACCATCCGGCACCTCACGAAAAACAAACCCAATGTGACATATCCAAACCTTCTATCACAACAAGTTCAATCAATAAACACGCCGAGCTTGGACATAAAAAAATACGAAAAAAATACATATACTGCATATATTGTCAAAGTTCTACTATATAGTACATCCATATGCAACTGAAAATATGTTATTTTTTTAATTGTCAGTAATTATTGCTGAAATGATTAATTAACTCTTAGAATAGCATTTCTCTGGGACTGACAGAACTAGTAAGACATTCAACTAATTAATTATAGTGAACAAACCAAGGACACAAGGGCAGATATTCTGAACAAGTGATGTCCATGTGCTGTAACCTCACTGCGATGTGTTCAGTGACAATACGGTTAGTTCATTCAAACAGACATCTCTGATGAATTGGTTTGCTGCTGGCATTGAAAATGCTGAAGGTTCCATTAACATTCCTGTCTCCCTCCGTACTGGTTATTTCGCTCCATACCTATAAAAGAGTCTGCCTCTTTTTCTAATTTTCATTTCGCTTTTATTTGTGTGAGGAAAAGAAAAGAAAATAAAAGAGAAGAAAAGCAGCTCAGAGAATTCATCGGGTACCCACGAGTACCACAAGTCCTAAGAGTCAAGGCTGCACCAGAGGGAGTTCTTTATGTCTGAAAAGTCAAGAGCTTTTACTGAAGCGTCCAGGTCCACATCTCAGAACAAAATGGTGAGTGCAAGAAAAGAAAAATACATCAAGTCTGTAATTATCTCAGTAAGGATTTCCGGCCACTAGGTTCCCCTCGGTTTTAAGTGAAAGAGTCAAACAAAAGCTGGTTCTTTGCAGGCTGTAATGTCTGCAATTTTTCATGATGAAAATGCAGGTTTTTTAAGTTAATTGTACTGTTCTCATCTTTACTTATGGACACTTTGACTTGAATTCCCCCATAAGACAATTCCAGGAGAGAGGCAGAGACATTAACATCTGCATTCTGACATTTCAATGTATAAACATAAAAAGTTCTTACACTGAAGGATGTCTCGAATCAAGGGTAAGAGCACACTCCAAAGGTTTTAACTTGATTTTGTTTAAGACCCATTGGAGCATGGATCAAGAGGATGCTTTCTATATTACAAAGGGCTACTTTAACATTATTCTTATAATGGTGATGAGTGTCATTTCAATTAATAGGGAAAATGTTACATTGTCATTTGTGTCTATTAAGCTCAACGTACAGCAGTAGTCTAGATCAAAAGCTGCACTCTACACTGTTGAAAAGTGTGTTGAAATCAATTCATTTTAAACGTTTAAATCAAGAGAATGATAAGGTTTTTGGTTTGATTCCATTACCACTTTCATTTGGTCTCTAAAAGAACTCTAAAGATTATGGATGTGGATTCTTTCTGATGGACATAATCAGGGTGTTATCATTACCGGGCTGATTATCACAAGGAGGAGCACGAGGAAAAGACAGGGGAAGAAGAAATGATTTAATGATTTCCTACAAGAATATGCTGATTGCAGTCCGTCTTCTCAATTAAGAGCTATTGTACACTGTTCCCTACTTCATACATTATAAAAAACCAGTATGTACGTGGGCGCGCACACACACACAAACACAGCTCAGTTGCAGCGCACCACAGGGGGTTGACTACTGGAAGCTCCAAATTAGAAAGAATTAATGTGGTTGGAAATGGAGCTTGATTGGTGACAGAAATCAGATTGTTGCTTGTGTGTGTGTGTGTGTGTGAGAGAGAGAGAGAGAGAGAGAGAGAGAGAGAGAGAGAGAGAGAGAGAGAGAGAGAGAGAGAGAGAGAGAGAGAGAGAGAGAGAGAGAGACATACGGTAGCACAGGATGGTGCAGGATGCAGTTATGTGCTTTTAAAAGCTTTAGAATACTAAATCGATGATGCTATCATTTTGAGTTTACACAAATTACTTGATGTTGCCTTTTGTCATTGGAAAATATTTATGCCGTGTAATTTAAAATTATGGTGCTATGCTTTTAAGAGTCAATAACCACTGTATTCTAATACGAGGTAAGATGAGTGGAGAAAACACAAGCAACATCAAATGGCAATGTTCAAAGAGATTTGATAGCCTTATAATAATAATAAAAAAAACTTTTTTTGAGATTTTTTTATTTTATAACTATGTTAAGCCCAAAAGATGCTTCAAAGACACCATTAGTTTGCGATGTAAACAAACCAAAAGCAAAAGAAAACATATAGTTCTTTCTCACTTTCAGAAAACTCCTGATATTTCCCGGAGGAGCTGTATGTGTGAACGCACAGCCAAATTTTTCTCCCTGATTTCTCCTGCCAGACCCCTTGTACTTTTACTGCAGTCCGAGTGAGCTGATGAGAGAATGCAGCAGAATATTCTCAGCAGAATTCACCTCGAGCCAATGGTAGGAGGGAGTGACGTTTGTAACCTGTGACTTCTGCACAGTGCATAGAGTGTAAGCAAGCGATCGCTACGATCTCCGTGCACCTAATTAAAAGGCGGCATTACGTTTCCTGTTCTCCAGTAGGTTGTTCTCCGCTCTTTTTTAATGTGATTCCTTTTAACGAAGCATTGATATAAAGGCAAATATCCTCATTATAGCATCGTATAGCCGAGTCTGTTGCTTCGTCCACTACTTTGGTGTCTTTTTGTTTAATTAACGTCTTAACTCAGGAGACCGCCCCACATCCCCCCTCCTGTCTGACAGGGATAGTCTCCCGCTGTGAGGTGCATAACAGCCAGGTCAGGAGAATCTCCGGAGCAGTCCTCCTGAAATGATCTAGATATTTTCAGGAGTGCATATGTGAAAACAGCTATATCTTATATGACATGTTACTTGTGTGCTGTTCGTTTGGGGAAAAGCTCATGGACTTGACTTATGATTAAATATCCCTTTTGGAAATATCTTGGCACAGTATAAAGTTCGATGCTGCTACATTCTCATTCGGTTCACTGAGGATGATAACTCTCCAATGACTGCAACCCAACCTACAGATTGTGTGTGTGTGCATTAATCCTTCAATGTGTGTTGCAGGGGTGAATGGGGTCTCAGAGGATGGCATGCTAGTTTGAGTAGCAGGGCACTGATGATGGCAGCTGGCGATTAATCTATAAGGGGAGGGCTTTTCATTCACCCAAGCCATTTATCACATGTTTTTGTCAGACTGACAGAGCGTCCCATCCTCCGATGATTATACATTACACTGATATGAATCTCTTTTGTTGCCAATCCCAGTGGAGTTGAGGCCTTTTCAGTGTTTGACTGCTGCTGACAGACAGTTTAGTGAGTCTGAAGTGAAAATGATGCTGTGATGAGGAAGATATCGCACAGCAGTGCCTGGTAGCAAAATAATAAAGTGCTGCTTTGATGGGTCGGCTGCTGGGTGAAAATATCCAGCTCAAACACAAATTCAGAAAGCTTTATTAGAACTATCAAAAATGTGTCCTAGTGGGATTTTTTTTTTTGTCAGTCTTGACGGTAAAGCAAGATAATATTTGACACTTTGTCCCTCCCCCATTAAGCTTCTTTCTCTTATTTAGACAAACAGACACACAATCCTTTCAACTCAAACGGAGATATTAATCAGGAAAAAAACTTGTATGGAAAAGAACATTAACCCCCTTTTCTTCAAAAAGCCAAAAACGATGTGCTCTAAAACATATAATATTAATTCATAAGTATTCTATATTAGGATTTTGTCTGCTTCTCTCTGATCTGATTCATGCTTTCATGAATTTCTCAAATTACGCTTTTTAAGAAAAAAGCTCAGAAAGAAGAACCAAAAGAGAAACCTATGATCATGAACTTTAAATTGTAGATCGCTCATAACCACATTAACTTGCAAACAGATTTCAATCAAGTACAATATACTTTGAGTTCTACTGTAAATCCTGCCAGCAAAATAATCCTTCAAACTGTTTTTCTGGAACGTTTCAGGCTGTATGCTTTTTGATTAAATACTAATATTACTTAACATCTGAGAGCATCGTTTAAGAAGTGAGTCTGAAAGTGTTAAATATTGTATTCGTTGTTATTCACAGTTTCAAATGTCAGCATAATTTACAGTTTTATGTTTTCTAGAGAACCTGGGAACACTTTAGGATCTTGCAGGAGAAGCTAGTAAACAGTAATGGGGAAAGGGGGGTTAGTCTGCCTTCAGAGTGTCCTAGCCCCTGATAAACGGATCAAATGGATCTATGGACGGAGGGAATTTTGCCAAGCAAAAGATTTAGCTTTCAAACTATTTGCAGAGATTCTGAATGACAGAATTTTTCAATTGAATATATATTTAGTCATTATTGTCTTTGCATCCTGATTAGACAATCGATCATTGTACATTTTCATTTACAATTGTTTCATAGCAGGGGAAATTTCTATATTTGGAAGTTTACGAATGTAATGCTGGAGTTCAGACAAAAAGGTCAAAATTGAAAGGTAGTTCAACTGGCACTTAGGGTTCCTAAATGTGTCACTATTAATGGATTCAATGTTTGGTCTCTAAATTGTAAAAGAGTAGCGAGTCAAAGTTTCTCAGGGTCTTAACCAACCTCTTCAACTTAAGTCCCTGAAGAATGCAAATGTTTGTTAATTCTACCTGAAGAATGACTAAAGCTAGAATTAATTAATCTTTTGATAGACTTACTGATTCATGGAAATATTATTTAAAACTCTACCAG